AGAGAATAATTGTATATATGATAAAGGATCGGAAGAATGGATGGCAATGCGGCTTTAATCAGTCTGACTGGGATGTTGTCGGGACCGTAATCATTGGTATGGGACTTCTGAATGGATTTAAGGAGCTCATCTGGTGTAATATGGGAAAGAAAGAAGTGATCAGGATTAAAGGAAGAGAACATAGGAGCCAGACTGGACGTGGGAGATGTGGATGCAAGAGGACAGGAGACAAAGTGAGCGTTGAGGTTATCAGCAGAAACGGAATTGGACTGAGACTGGGGTGTATTACCAATGGTCAGTTTTCTAAGAATAGCCCACGTAGCCTTGGTATTGGGAGAGTTGGATAGGGAATGATGGTAGTAACGGGATTTAGCACGGCGTACTGCTGATTGAGTGCTATTTCGAAGCTGTTTGTAGGAGAGAAAATCATCAGGAAGTCGAGTTCGTTTAAACCGTCGCCTTGCAGCATCTCTTTCTCTCATACACTCCCTCAAAGCAGGGGTAAGCCAAGGAGCTGGAGGATATCGGATGGTTTTTGTGATAAGAGGAGCATGTCGGTCGAGGATAGAGTGAAGTTGAGTGGTTAGGATTTCTACCATGGTGTCTATGGATTTTGAGGAGTAGATGGGATCCCACTGGATATCGTCAAGACCTTCTGACAATGTTTCGTGAGTGAGATAATCTAGGTTTCGGAAGGATATTGTTCGGGGAGAAAAGGATGGAACAGGGACATTGTAAGAGATCTGGACAAGATCGTGGGAAGATAGAAACGGAACCGGGTGCTGAGATGCGGCAAGGAGTTTGTCTGAGGAATCCAGGATAATTAGATCGAGCCAGGACTCTGAATACTGAGTATGATGGGTTGGATTGTAGGGTACTATGTAAAGGCTGAGAGAATTAAAGAGGTTTGTTAGGTAGGAATAATCAGAGGATGGTGCCAGTAAATTGGTGTTAAAGTCACCGGAGAGGATGATGTTTGAGTAGGAAGGGATTAAGTTGTACAATAAAGTCTCAAGTGATTCATCGAAAGGAATTCTAGGAGGGCGATATATGACAGCAAACAGAATGGCAGATGAGGTGGTGAGGATTTCGGCGAAAAGGTATTCAACGTGCGGAGAATCGGTTATGGAAGAGCAGTGAAGAATTTTGGATTTGAGACTGTCATGGACAAAGAGACCTACTCCACCACCCGTGCGATCTACTCTGTCATGACGAAGGAGAGTATAGTTAGGTAGAAGGATCTGGGAGGACGGGATTGTGGGTTTCAACCAGGTTTCGGATACGGCAATTAAATGGTAGAAGTTATGGAGAAAAAAGTCGTAAAATTCATCAAAATGGGCTAAGAGTGACTGAGCGTTGACGTGGCAGGTTAGAAGGATATTAGTCATGGAAGAAGGAGGGGTGGCTTGGTAAACGGACAGAAGGAGTTAAGGATAGGAATATTTCTACAGCAGCTAGAGCCAATTGTGTGCAAGATCTCCTAGATATTAATAAGGATGGTAAACAAAAAATATAAAATTTAGTTAACGAAAAGCATATTCCTATTGTGCAAAAGAAAAAAAATACACAAATTAGAGTTTCTGGACAGATCAGACCTAAAATATTCTCATAAACAAAAATGAAATTATTATCATAGTCTATTATTAAAACAAACGCAACAAAAACATAAAACTGGGGATATAAAAAAGTAAAAACAAAATTGTTCAAAGTGTTGTAACATGTATATGCATGTCAAGCAAACGTTTCTAAATCTGATGGTGAGTTGATGACGACGACCTGCTGTCCATCGTCTCGTCGACATTTCACCTTGCCTGCGCTAAACCAACTGTACCTGATTTTTCCTGCAGACCTCTTTTGCCGGGCCAGCCAGTACAGGTGTCTGTTGGTTACGGACATAGCTTCGCTCAGGTAGATCTTGTGGGCGTCATTTTCTTGCCATCCGAGGTGACGTGTTGAAAAATCCCTAATGACTTTTCGCCTCTGGATCAACTCATCCCTAAGCGACTGCCGGACGAACCTTACCACAAGCGGCCCAGGTGTATCGTCTTGCCTGTTTCTTATCCGTTCTGCATAGTCAATGTCCTCCACCTTTAGACTAAGGCCCAGGCCCGCCCCCACGCTCATAACCAGGCCCATCGGGGTCTCTCCAGATCTCACTGGGACTCCTCTTATTTCTATTGACCTGGAAAGGTGCAGTTGCTCACTTTTATTGAGCCTGATTTCGAGCTCCGAGACCCGAGACTTGAGAGTCGTGTTTTCCAAGACCAGTCCGTCAATCTTGGAATTTTGAGCCTCCAGTAGTGACTCTATAGAGTCTAATTTCGCCGCATTCTCAAAAGTTATGGATGCTTGCTTTTCGAGAGATATTTTTAATTCTTTCACCTCGTTAGCATTGGCATCGAGGGAGAATTTTAATCCCTTGACCTCTTCTGTTAAATTTTTAATGGCAGCAAGTAACAGTTGTGACGTGCTGTCGACAGTTTGTTGTTGTGGCGCCGATCTTGGCGGGCTGAGACACTTGTCTGTCGGTTGGATATTTTTCCGTGCCTTTTCACATTTCGGGCATTCCCAATTTTTTCGTAATGCCCTCAGTGCTTCAAACTCACTCTCGTCTGCGTTTAGACATTTTCCATGGAAAATGGCTTGACATGTTGGGACAGTGCATGCCATTGTTTTTTTTTCTTCTCTTGCTATGGTCTGTTTACAGATTGGGCATAAAACCATCTTGATAAGCGAGAGAAAAGAAGAAAGAGAAAAAAAAAATTACGTAAGTAACGTGGTAAAAAAATTGACGTTATCCCAACCTCGTCACTGGAAACACTGAGATATCTAGTACCTAGTCCTATTTATGCGCATGCGCTCCCCACCTATATTCTTATCTAGAATGCCTGCAATAAATACCTTAAGCCGACTAAAATTATGATTTTTCCTTTCTTCTTCTGACGTGAAACGGCGTTGTATTGAAGAATCTTTCCTGTCTGTGGATATAACACGATTAATAGTTGGTTCTAACCAAAAATTATGACCGAACTCCTTCTAAAAACTGCGAAAATCACTAACTATAAACTGACTGAACTTTTATCATACGCTCTGAACTGAGGTCTAGACCACACTGCAACAAACAAGGGACAGAAATTTAATTACTTAATCAGACAAGAAGACCAATTACCCCTTTCGAGAAGCAGTAGCTAGGTTATTGTATCTAGCAATAAAAACCAGACTGGATCTGTGTTACTCTGTAGTATCAGAGTAGATGCATGAAAAACATGACTATTCAAGATCTCACTAATGTTAAATGTATAATGAGATATCTAAAAGGAAGTCTTAAGAAAGGAATCAGCTTTAAAGAGGATGGTGAATCAAGAATCTGTGACTTGGAATATGCAGATGATGAAGAGACTCAGAGAAGCACATCAGGATTCATTATTTTCTACAATGGAGAATCAGTTTGTTGGAGATCTAGGAGACAGCCAATCGTTTTAAGTAGTACTGAAGCTAAATTCATTAGTGCTGCTGAATGTTGTAAAGAACTTCTATATATTAAAAAAAAATGATTGAAGAATGAAGAAGAATACAAATAATGAAATAAAGACAACAATGATAATTGACCTCAGTACCATCAACCTCATTAAAACAGGGATTGTGAACAAATGAAGTAGGCATATTGATGTTCGATATCATTTTTTGAAAGATGTTTCTAATTAGAACATTGTAAATTTTGTTCATTGTGCAAGCGATATGCAGACTGGTGATATTTTAACGAAGCCACTTGCCAATTTAAAATTTGAAAAATTGAATGTAAATATTTGTAATAGATTTTTCTTTGCTTATACTTATCTAGATTGATAAAAAAAAAAATATGGGGTATGTTAAAGTAATTTTAGTAATAATATATCGATCATGTGATATGTGTCGATTTTGTGAATTTTGATTTTTATAATCTCTGTGTGCCTTTGTAACCTTATTGTCTTGTATCATGTTGATGTTTAAAATAAAGCTGTTTATTTTTCAATGTTTTGTACTTATTAAAAAACCTAAAACATAAATAATCTTGATAGTTCAAATAAATCCTCAAATCTGGAGGACTCCATATCACATAGTGACAGAGGCTCCATTTGGTAAATGAAAACTATGGATTTCGGTCAGTAATTTGAGCTAATTTTAATATAAAATTTAATAACTGGTACTGGTACTGATATTGATGGGAGAACTAGTCTAGTGGGCCATTGGTCATTGGTTATTCTTGTCAATTACAAACAGTGGACTTCTATAACCAATCTAGAAGTTCAATATTCATTTGCAGGACCACAACGCAAAAGAATACTAATTGACCCAGATGGGAATAATCAGCTAAGTATTACCTGCCCATTAAAAGCGGTAACCAGTTTGTATTACATTTTTTTCTTAAATTTTATTCTTATTGTTTAAGTTGTTTGTTTAAAAGAGTGAGGAAATGAAAATTCATTTTTACTATGGATTCATTTTAACATTCTTATTGGATTTTTTTAAATAAAGCCTTTAATCCCTCAAATATCAATTAATAACCGATCAACATTACACCATTAAAGAAATCATCAGCAATGAAAACCACCAAATCATAAATATTCAATCTTACCAAATAGAAATGAACATTGATGTGTTTCTGATCGTATAATAATCTCATTTATATTTTATGTTGAAATTGATGATAGAATATTATGTAATTGGCTTTCAAATAATCACGAAAACATTTTTAGTAAAGGGATAACTGTAAAAATATATAATGACACAGCATAAGATATATTTTGGAGTAATTAAAGATATAAATAAGAATCACATACACAATAATTAAATATTATATATACACACACACACACTCTATATATATATATATATATATATATATATATATATATATATATATATATAGGAAACTTAAAATTTTATAAGCGATATTGCCTAATGTCAATCCTATAATATGATGTAGCACTTAAATTATGAAAATTCACAAAAAAAAAAAAGACAATAAAAAAGAAATTTTATTGAAATAACTTATAAGTATTTACATTAATAAAGCAAGAGTTAAAGTTTTTTAAAAAGTAATAAATAAAAAATTGATACTTGCTGAAATAGATAATATAGTTTTTGCAAATATTAAAGTATTTAAATCAGTCTCTTGAAAAACACTTAAATTAAACACACATTTATATTACTGAGTGTGTTTTTATATATACAAACATGCTAAAAACACATATATTTTCCAGTAAGTTCCACTTTACACACATATAAATATATGTTAAATATATTTATATAAGTCAAATATAGTAGTTTCTAGATCATATTAATTATACAAATGATTGAAAAAGGGGCATGGTTCAAATCTAATAAATATTCATTAACTACATAAACATGCAGAAGGATTACTCCTTATTACTATATATAATTTGAACTTCCTGTAATACTGAGTAATCTAAGGGTGAATGTCAGTGTCACACTTTAAGAAGTTCAAGCTAAATGAACACAACAACAAATATTAATTAGTACTTTTTTTAACCTAACTTTACAATTACAATATCATACAGGCATTCTAGGAATTCAGTTGCATAATTTTAGTATTACTTGGCTTAACTCCTAATGTATTGCACTTTTTACTTATAAAAAAGAATTAAATAAAAATGTGCAATTATTTGTTTATTTTTTAATAATTAAAAAAAATTCAAGACATTGATAGGTTAAAATTTAAAAGTGAAGATTAGTTAAAGAAAAAAAGGTATATATACATATTTGTTATATACACATATGTATATAGATAGTCCAAAATACCTTCCATTAATAATCATTAGAGACATTAATAATCTAATTGGTTTTCACATACGGTTGTCAATTAAATAAAAAGCCATATAACTTGTTTAAAAAATTAATAAAACCCTAAATAGGGAGAGTTAAAATTTAAAACTAAGGAGGGACATAAGGAGGTGGCATACGATAGGTAGGAGTTGGTTTGGGTCTAGCTGAATCTCTACTGGCCGTAAAAGGAGGTGGAGGCTGATATGGTGAATCCTCTGTATCAGATAAAAGAGCAGTTGTAGCCAATGGTGGACCTCTCTGATATTCAGGAGGTGGTAAAGGTGGTTTTTCTTCTTTCATTATAACTGGGCTTTTATTTGTAGGTTCTGGTCGTTCATCTAATTCATCTTGAAATATTACAGGAATGCCTTTGCTACGAAATGTTTGACGCTCATCTTCATCCCCAACTGACATTTTTCCTGTCCTCCTCCTTCGATATAATATGCATGCAATTATTCCAGCACAGAGTAGCATTACAGTTATAACAACAGCAGGTACAATAAGACCAATTATAAAATGTTCATTATGAGAAACTGCAGTAACATCATTATTAGTCAATATTTCACCACCACCTGCAGGAATTTCGATCAATGCTCCTTGGCAAAGACCAGTTGGCGTTAACCGAGCACTTTGCACAGGAAATTCCTCTCCCATAACACGGGCTACATTGGTTGTCAAGCGTTCATCATCGCCAAGAATAATCTACAAAACAATTAAATAGTACACAATTTATTAAGTATTTAGAAATTATAAAGCACAGCTTATACTAAGTAAATCAATATATTGTCAAACAGTATAAATTTTTTAATGAAAAATTTGATTTATAAGAATTATATCTACCCTTTAAACTTCCTTTTTTATTTTCTTAATGGTCAACAAATATTTCAAGGAATAAGACCCGGAATGGGAAATGGATTTGCTACTCGGAGCGCCAGAGGTATCGGCTGAAAGGAAGAGGAACTGCCAGGAAAAGGCAAAAGTGAACTTCTTACGAATCACAGAGAGCAAGAAGAAGGCAAATATTGGTGACCATGCCAGTAATGTTGATCAAGAACAATTCTTTGAAAAGGTACAAGAAGAATTAGATAGATGCAAATCTATCCCAATAATAATGGGAGATCTTGTTGATCGGGTAGATAATGATCGGAAATTGTGGGCAGGAGTATTGGGCCGCCACATAGAGGATGTAATAAATGACAATGGTGAACGAATTCTCCTGTTCTGTCTCGAGAATAACCTTTCAGTGACAAACACATTCTATCCCCCATAAGGACATTCATAAATATACTAGAAAAGAACACTCAAGGCAAGAAAAATCAATAATTGATTATTTCTTAATAAACCAGGAGAACAGAATAAATGTTAAGGACAAAAGAGTTCAACGAGGGTATAAATTGGGCAGCGATCATTACCTAAGCTGGACATATTATAATAGGAGGAGCTCAAAACCCAAGAAAAAGACATACCTTAAGAGTTCAAAATCAAAGCATACTAACTCAGAGAAGAGGATGTTGCCATCCGCTCTCTCAAGAAGAAATAATGGGTAAAGGAGACTGTCTTTGGGACAGCGATAATTTGGAAATGAGATGGAGAGTCTTCAAATCTATACTGGTGAAGCCAGCAGAAAATGTTTGTGGTAAGAGCAAGATAAAGGAGCGCAATAGAAGAACAACATGGTGGGATGACCAGGTTAAAGAAGCAGCCAAGAAAAAGAAAGAACTCTGAAAGAAATACCTAGCCAGCGGATCACAAGATGATTACCAGGTCTACAAGAGGCAGAGGAAAGTGGTGAAATCAGTGGTCACCCAAGTCATAAGAAACGTCTGGGAGAAATTCGGACTGAAGATGGAAGAAAACTTCAGAGACAACCAAAAGATGTTCTATAAGACATCAAAGTCCCTCAGGAAGGGAAAAGAGCCTCAACTGAAGTTTATAAAAGACAAGAATAGTACAATGCTGTCAGACGCAGAAAAGGTCATGGAACGGTGGAAAGAATATTTCAGCAAGCTGCTAGATGGATATACGGAGGACAGAGGAAGAACAGCAACCTGGAAACACATTTACTGAGGATGAAGCTCTGGAAGAGGATAATTATTTGGATGAAGATAAAATTTTAGATGCTGTAGCCACATTTAAGAAGGAAAAGGCAGCAGGAACTCATGGTATAACACCAGAGATTATCAAGAAACTGGAAAGCCAAGGAATGAAAATGCTACAGCATCTTTTCAAACTGACATGAAGGAAAAAGAAGATTTCAGAAGACTGGGAAGTCTCCTTAATTGTCCCCATGTTTAAAAAAGGGGACAATAGGGAATGCAAAAATAATAGAGAAATCTCACTTTTGAGCATCCCTGGTAAAGTTTATTCAAAAGTTTTAAAATAAAGATTTCGTAGCATTGGGGAACCACTTCAGGTTCTGGGAATAAAGGAGCACCCAGGATCTAATATTTGCAATCAGGCAGGCTACAGGGAAGCTCATAGGTAAGGTCAAAGAGGCCTATATTTCTTTTGTTCATCTGATCAAAGTTTTCGATAGAGTTAATATCCCGGACGTTGAAAAGGCATTAAGAGAAAAAGATGTGACACTTGGAATCCGGAAAGCAATGTTAAGTCTCTTTACTAAATGCAGAAATTTTGTTAGAACCTGCAATAACAGACCTAAAGAATTCAGATCTTCAACTGATATCATGCAAGGATTCAGCCTTAGCCCACTCTTGTTCATTTTGGTGTTAGACACTACCTTGAAGAATGCCAAGAATAAGACAAGGGGTTTCCGCACAGGATATAGAAACATGCAAGCAGACCATTTAAATGTATTTGCCTTCGCAGAAGATATAGTGGTATTTGGAAGGAATGGAAGAGACCTTCAGCTCAACCTCAAGATCCTACAGGAAAAGCTCAAGTCTCTGGAGACCGAATAATCAGGCAAGAGCTGGAGGCAGTGGAAACGTTCAAATACCTTGGAGCACATATACATGAGTGAGACATCATAGACTGTGAAATAAGGGAGGGAATAGCTGCAAGAGGAAGATTATTTAATGTTCTGCGAAATTCCTTTGTCGGAAAAAGCAAGGTTTCAAAAGATACAAAGAAGGTAGTATACAAGACAACCTTTTTCCCTACCCTAACCAGCATGTATACAAGCCAACTTCAAGCCATCAAAATGGAATTCCTCCAGAAAATTGAAGGAAAAACCTGCCGAGAGAGGGTGAGAAACACCACAATAAGGAACAATCTCGGCCTAAAATCACTACATGAAACCTTGGAGGAGAATCGTCTGCGATGGTTTGGACATATCTCGTGGATGCCTGCTGATAAAATAGCTAGGCTAACCTATGACTTGAAAGTGGGTGGAAGAAGGAGCAGAGGATAAGGACTAGGAAAACCTTAAAGAAATGTGTTAGAGAGAAGTTTGCAGTCAGGAATCTGAATTGGTGAAGGGGAAGGGAGGTGGAACAGGATCGAGCACAATGGATCAAGCTCTACAGAAAGAACCCTCACACTGCACCAGGTGGTAAACGAGGAGCAGATCAAGTAAAATAAAGTTAATGGACAACATTTCTGACATCTGTCTTTAAGCCCATAATTAAAATATAAGTTACATTAAAAATAAGTTTAAATCATCAATAATCCATTTTTATAAAAATCACAGGTGATACCATTCTGCCTAAGAATATTTTAAGTTAAAATATAATCATTTAATTTTATTGAATAGTTATATTACTCCTTATTATCCATATCTTAACACAAGTCTTATTCTTACATTAATCTCTATTTTTTTATATCACTAATAGGGTAATTCATGCAACCAATGATAAGTATTGTAAAGCTCTTAAATGTTTTAAAATCAAGAAACTTATTTAAGATTTGTATGTTAAATAAGGACGTTAACATACTTGATTTTAACACGGTCTGAGGTCTGTTAAAACTAGTGCTTATTTTGTAAAAGAACAGAGGTCTGGTTTTAATCTTGTGGTCTGGTTCTTTGTTTATAACTACATATTAAGTGAAATGGAATGTTAGGAAAAGGATGGGAAAAAACCGGCAAAACACAGGAAAAACATCTCTTATCCATAATAGCAGAAAATCCTATCATGTTTGAGGTAGGTAATTTTCTTTTTTTCAATTTCTTAACAATTTAGGGTTGCCTTACTTTTGGTAATAACCAGTGTTACAAAAAGAAAAATAAGTAGTTAAACATTAAAATCAACAAGATAAATACGAGTTATCATGAGCTTAAATTTTAACTTAAGACATGAGTTGGATAATAGCAGTTGATGAAGCTTATTAAAACAATGACTTATCCAATTTTTGTGGCCAACGATATTGTTGATGAGGGGAACAAAGATTTTCCGAAATGTCCAATAATAAATAATGATAAAAAACTAATTTGATTATTATTTGAATTGACCAAATGGCAAACAAAAAAGTGTAAAAATATATTTAGAATAATGGTCAAAATTGAAAAACAGGAAATATTATTAATATTTTAATTTTTAAAGATCTTAATTGCTGATAATGAACAGCAGTGGTACACACAAGCTTTTACTATATTAAATTTAAAAAAAAAAATGATTTTTTCTGTATATATGTTTTTTTAAAGTTGGTGAGATTGAAAAAGGTGTGTACAAATGATCCTGAATGCAGAGTCCTAATACAAGGAGAAGTATCTGAAGCTTTCAAACTTCGAATGGGCTTACAGCAGGGAGATAGACTATCACCGATGATGTTCAACTTAGCCCTAGAGAAGGTAATAAGAGCAATATTACAGGAAAATGGAGGGGTCTCATCAGAATGAATCATAAAATCCTTGGATACGCAGATGATATAGCTGTCCTTGGAAGTAATCAAGAAGACATTGAGAAACTCGCTACAACACTGATAAGAGAGGCAGAGCAGATCGGCCTACAAGTAAATGAAGACAAAACAAAATATATGATAATAAGCCGAAAATTCCACCCAATAACAGGATCTGCGTAGAAGGAAAATCATTCCCGAGAGTAGAAAAATTCAAATACCTCGGCTCCACAATAACCTCAATGAATGACCAACGGGCAGAAATAGACCAGCGTATAACTAGCGCAAACAGAGCTTTCTTCTCCCTCTCAAAGGTATTGAAATCCCGAAAAATCTCAAACTAAGGGTGTACAATGCTATGATAAAGCCAGTTCTAATATATGGCTGTGAGACCTGGACACTAACCAGCACCTAGAAAAAAGTGTTGAAAGATTTGAGAGGAAAATCCTCCGCACGATAACCGGAGCGATCTGGGATCAGAGTACTAACACATGGAGAAGAAAGACCAATAAAGAACTGCTTACAGAAACTGGTCAATCAATATCCCATGATATGAAGGCACGGAGGTTAAGATGGAGGGGCATGTAGCTCATAGCAATCCATCTGGAAGCCTCTACGTAACAATGAATGCCTCAATAGAAGGCAAAAGACCACGTGGAAGGCCAAAAAGCAGATGGATAGATAGAATCAACAAAGATGCAATAGAGCTGCGTGCAGATAAATGGAAAGAAATAGCCCAAGACAGGCAGAGATGGAGCAGGCTTGTTAAGGCGGCAAAAGATCTACATGGTCTGTAATGCCAACAGAAAAAAAACAAAACATATTTTTTAAATTTATTTATTTCTAACATACAGGCATAATTTTAACTTTTTAACTATTTATAAATTATTTTAACCTATTTATTA